GTGACAACTTGAGTAATGCGAATCATGTTACCAGGATGACAAATCCAAATCATGTTAACAAGAAGTCTTGGAGAATATAATTACCATCAGTTTGGAACGTATTACAGCAACATGACAAAATGAAAATATGTTTATACCTTGACTGAGCTACATAACAGTTAGTAGACGGTTAACAAAACTGAGAGTGATATTTTGTTTACTGTCGTTAAAAGAATCCTTTTTATCTATGTTAGAAATGACTGATGTGATATCAAGCTAATAATCTGGCTGTAAAGGTAGTCACCGTACGATTATTGATGAGACTTCAAAATGACTGGTAAAAGGTTTATCAGACGCTCTCATTTGTTTACAATGGCATCGTGGGTCGAAGGAGGGAGCCATTGTGTCGCATATCTATGGATTGAATGTATTCATTTTGGCATCACGGCTAATCAAATTGCTTATAGTTTCAACACCATCATGACAGTTTCCTCGTCTCTTCGATCATTTGAAACATTTCATCAGATCCGTATGGTAGACTGGATATACATGAATGACTTATGAAAAAGCGTTGCAATACTGCTCCAGACGCTGAATGCTGCTGGCGAGTATATTTGCCACTTAGACTCAACGTGAACAGTTTTGTCTACGAAACCTTCCGCAACGTTTTTACGATTTTGTTTTTTCAATCGATGAATCACCATGCCTGGAGAAATCCAGAAATCAATCACTTCCTCAGTGTTTTCAAAAGCGAAGGAAAAACGCAACGTAGATTTAAAATAAATATTTGTATCTTTGTCAAACACTGTAGATTGTTCAAATAACTTTCAAAGTTCCAAGGATTTGCTCGTTATAAAACTACGTGTTTTTCTTTGCGTCTACCACTCTACCCTGGATGGATCTTGGTCAGACATATCCATTTATTACACGCACCTCCCATTCTCAGTGTTTCAAGAGCAAAACCGAACACTTTCAAAGTTATTGATAGCTTTTACTGAAATCCTTGACGACTGAGATGACAAAAACGTTACCAAGTAAATAAAACGTCGCTGCTTATCGTGTGAACTTCAACAAAATCGATGAGACGGAATCAATAAAACTGCCTATCATTGAATGTTTTGTTGAAGACGTTGAGTATTTGTTATCAAATCCAAGTATTGGTTGGCAAAAAATCAACCATATGAGGTTAGGTTTCCGCAGCAGTTGATCAATAGGGACATTTTTTAATACCACAATTTACTGTAAAACGATACCTCTAACGCCTTGCACTCATAACAAAAAAAGTTTATTCAATTTGATGCTTGGAGGTGAATTCTGATCTACGGTGAATGGCAAAATAAAAGTTTATGTTATTGAACATGCTATCTTTGTTCTCTTATCGGATGTCACACAGCTTGGGAAAAATGTGTTTGAAAAAATATAATATCAGGTCATGGAAAACTTGTTCATATTGATCATTCAGAACATAGATTTGTGTCCATCCAACGAAACAAGATCGAAGCTTTGTAATCGTTTCATAGTATGTCGCCGTCTAAAGACAGTTGTGTGATTAAATCAACACGAAGCTGTAAAACATCATGCGTATATAAACATATCTATGACACCGATGTATCAAAATGTAACACGAATGGGAAAATATCCTATCAGCGACGCCAGACGTATTAAGATCTTAAAAATTGATGGTCAGGAAGCAAACATGTCATCTATTTCTCGACTTTACATTAATATTTAAACAGCGGGTAATATCAAAAGATATGTCATATTAACCAGGAGCTACATGGTTTCAAAACAAACTGCTCTTGAGAATACGATGAATATAATGGAAACACACATTTTCGCGCAGTGGTAAAATTTTCAGCATTCTATGTTTAGCAACAGATTTATATCGAGACCGATTCGAGGTACAAAAAATCAATCCATCTTATCATTGAAAATGCCTATACATATTTAACCATAGCAACAAAACTACACTTTGAAAAAAGCCAATGCATGATTTGAGATCTGTGCGATATGCCTCCTAATTGGCCTAACTCCTGGATGTCAATACATGCGATCGAACGCAATTAAAATGATTTTTTGAGGAAGATGTGATTTTATGTCGGTCTGATATGACATTTCTGCTGTTTGATTTATCGATGCACAGTAGAGTGTGTGTAATTTTGATGTTAATATCATTTTTGGAAAAGGAAATCTATACTGTGAGACACGTCCCCGGGAAAGGAAAATCAATGCTCAAGCGAAACCACTTTCGGAAAGGGTTTAAAATCGAATCTGTCTCTTACAAATGTGAACCATAGTGAATGACTCTAGCAATTACTTATCTAGAGGGCACATAAATTTGATTTATAGAATTATATGTATACATTTCATTTCTGATGCTGTAGAATTTCAATCAAAAAGACGCCATGCAAGACTACTTTCGTAAAGACTGTTTGAATTGTTAACTGTACAAGTAATATACCCTTGTGGGTTGCATTTTGCAAAAAGAATTTCAATTACATATTTGCTGGATCTACTTTAGTGGATTTGATGGAAGTGGTTGCGGTTATTATTAGATGTTTTTGATGAAGGACTTGCGTTTGCAATTTCAAATTTGAAAATGATGTCATTGAGGCAGATTTTTCTAAGATATCGTCCTACAAGCACGTCGACAACAGTCACTAAACATCTCGTGGTCTTTTATTGCATGTAGATACATTGATATCACACAAAGCACATGCTCTCGATATATGAGATAGTTGTGTAACGTGATCAGTCTTGGTGCTTGTAATATTCAGGTGGTTGTCCAGAAATAGGTGTGTGAATCTTATCCAGTAACGGAATGGAACAGGGATCACATGGTTTCGATTGTCTGTGTTTACTGTGGACTTTGATACAATAACCCGAATAAGTACATATATGCCTCAGAGGGTTAAGGTGACTTCATATCCGACCCCAAATAACAAGAAGTCGAGGAAGCCGATGTACAGATAAGACGAATTGCTTGCTTGCCATGACTATCACATGTCGAACCATCCAGGATGTATCGAAAAATGTTTTGTTATGTATTTTCTGAATTCATATATCTTTTTATTTGACCTTTTTATTACTTATTTGTAAGCACGATATGGCTGAAATATTGCCGATGTGACTTAAAATTTAACTCACTCACTCACTAACTTATTTGTAAGTATGAGACTAAAACACTCATTATATAATGAACAGCAGAAGAACCACATAATGTCCTCTGTCTGTTTTGAGCTGGTCTTAGAACCTTTTAACTAAATACACATATCATGGACCAAGTATTCCGGGGACGTCCTGTTTTTTAGGCACAGCTGGAATACTATGAAACATTTGGTATGTGAGCGAGATGTCTCACAATGACCCTTTCCATTACGGCAGGAACACTTAAACATGATCTCCACATAGTGCATGCATGTTTTAGCGCTTTACAGCAAATATTGCATATGTTCTTTCAGAGGGTTTATGGGCTGATTGTAAAGAGGGTGCTACCGTTGTGGGGATGGCTGGGATAATGATCTGGCTTTTTATTGTACATCTAATCTTGCTGATCAATCGAGTTGAAACAGACATCGTACGGCAAGCCAATCACTACACGTCATTCACATGGTGCTATCTATTTGGGAGATGACATTCCAGAAATTGCCCTGTCACTGACATGCTTAATAACATTGCAGTTTATGTGTTTTTACGTCATGACAAGACGGCCCGTTGTATAAGAAACCATTGTCGTAAATATTGACTTTAAAAAACGAACCATCAACTCAAATGTTGTTAATCCAACGTTTTTAAAACGATGTTTTTAGCATTAATCGTATGTTCTCATTGAACAAAAAATGAAGAAAAGGTTATATAATGATATTTTTTTTCTAAACTGACATACAATTTTTCATGTTTCATTATATTGTGCACAATGTGGGGAATCATACTTAGCAAATATTGGAAAAGAAAGAGAATACATTGCAGTAACAAATCACTTTGCAATTAGCAGTATTTCAAGGAAAGAATGTATTTTGGTATTTTCATCAGCTACATCAGCGCATAATGTTTGTTTTGACATTAGGTTTCGCATACCCATTCCACATAATAACTTTCTTGGCATGTCTGAATGTTTTCAATAATGAGATTCTCTTGGTGAAGAAAAACACCTGAGCATGGTTAAACTAAAATAGTTCATTCTGTTGTGGACCTACTTGTCAACATGCTTGTCAATATCAAGAAGACAAATCAGTGACACTCTTTAAGTCGAAATCCCGCAGACTACTACTACAATATTGAAACATTGTAACGATAAGGATTCCGTCGGGGTTAAAATGTAGACCGATATCTCGAGATTGTGAGTTTCCCAGTATTCACATGTTTACTCTCGAAAGTCTCAAAGTATATATTTAACTTGTTTGTACAACACGTTAAGTTCATTGTCAACATTTAGCTTATTTTTAGAAAAAAAGAATAGTCCTTGTTTAAAAATATATTCATGTATTGAAATAAGATAACTATAAACAAATGACATGAAATGAAAAATTGGATATAATTGGGTATACTCATGTATACCCAATTATAGTATGGACACCTATTTCTGTAGAAACATTGGTCGTACTAACATCCCAATATATATTAACATATATATCCACGAACGTGCCACAAAGATTCAATATCCCGATGGCATTTGTGCCTTTGGGAGGTAATCAAAACAGAGAAAAATACTCGGCATGAAGATATAACACACTGAGCAAGGAAATGTGTTTACTGCTAAAAACATATTCTGTTTCAAAGTAGCCGTTGTAGGAAGCGCACCCCAGACGTACAAAAACAGGACGAGAAGATCAAAGAAAATGTAGAGTTCTATGAAAATAACACGAAAAAATGTTTTCTTGAACGTTAGGTTTCTCCCAACACGTACTAGTGTAGGTGAGGCATGTCGCAATGAATATTTTTCTGTTTCCAGCCTCATGGTTGAGAAGCAAGAGTCTTGATTAAATCGAATCTATTTCAACTGTCAGTATGGTTGTACTTACAACTTTCAATCTCAACTGAACACTTTTGCTGGTCGAGGGGATAATTATGTAAATCCATCATACATGCCAGGGTTGTCGTGAACCTGGAAACAATTAAAGATACAAGAATCAACCACGGCATCCTGCAATTCACGAAACAAGCTTGGAATTGGTTTTCGAAATAGAACAGAAAAAAGTCTCCGCTGAGAAAAGACAACTCAATTGCTAACAGATATTGAGTGTTTAATCAGAGTTTGCTGTGTTACTCTGAATGAATTCCTAAAAAAAAGAATGGTTAGATTATACATTTCCTAAACAAAATATCAATTTGTAAAGCTATGTTGTCAAATTTGATTGAAAAAGCGTTAATTTGTTCATCTGAAAATTCAATTTAAAACCTCCATTTTACACATGTGTTAGAATGAACGAATATCATTTTACGCCGCATCAGAAATGTTCCAGTTAGAATATGGACAGAACTGTTGTCTCATCGATATGAGCTGTACTCCGCTGACCATTCATGTAGCACCGTCGGCTCTGGCACATCTATATGAGCTGTCACTAGGTGACCTTTCATGTGACATGTCTGCTCTGTCACACCGATAAGAGTTTGCACTAGGTGCCCTTTCATGTGACATGGTCTGCTTTGCATAAGTATAAGGCAAATGATATTTCACTTCTCTAAACATATGTCAACTTTAAATGATATTTCTTCAGCTCTGTCATGCCATTGTGATGCACGTTATGAATAAAGCAAATGTAAATGCTAAATATCAGCTATTATACCATACTAAGGACGTCTGTAAGATCTTACAAGGTCACATAAACCAACAGAAATATGGTTTCCTTTGCAAATGTCTTTAGTGACCTCAAACAAGCAGTGGCCTCTTGATTCAAACGGATTGAGTTGGGGACTTTGCAAACTTTCAGGATCTTTAGCGAGAAATCAATGCATTTTTCAAGCATCCACTTAAACGTGATTTAACATCAAAGAAAACATTTGAGACTGAATAAAGCAATCGTAGCTTTTCGTGTTAGAAAAGAGGTTTCATATTGATTACATTGACAACTCCTGTAAACGGAAGGAATCATCGTTAGAGATAGTTCCTCGTGACCTCTCTGCGATACTTTGGTAAACCTTGAAACATTAGTCTTTAGGAGATAGATCTTAACGACAATTGGAGAATTGTACGCGGTTGATGATAAGTGTAATAATCTTTAAAATGCAGATACAGTGTTTAAGGTAAGCCGTTCTGAACGTATTTACAGAATTGGATAAATCATTAACTGATACACACCTTGAATAAGAAAACGGTTAATACAAAGAATTCCATTTTAGAGCATTTCATTTGCGATTTTCCAACGTGCTTGATAAGACACAACTGATGTCTTGGATTGCATTCCTTTAGATTTAGAAAATTGATAATGCTACGACATTCAAATTCATTCGTTTCGGGGAATGCAATTTTGACGATGGAGCTTTAATTATTGAATGTAGGCTGGAATGCATTTCAGAGTTTGCTCAAAAACTCACCTCATTCCATAAACGATTGATCCGTTGGCATAGAGACGAATCATTTTATTTTTTTCTGTGACATCATGAAGATATGAGTTTTTGTCATTGGCCAGAAACGTGTCAGGTACCCATATCCTCTCGGCAAATTCTCCCGTGAGCGTCATACTCTCGTTGCCGCCCGAGAACTGGAGACGGTCATCACGCCAGTATTGGTTTAAGTACATGGTAATGGTGTAATCCTGTCAACAGATCAAAAGAGGATATGATTCAACATGCAATAATTGAAAAGAATTGACAGTCATGGCAACAGATTAATCAGATTGTATTAGTGAGGTGAGGTGAAATGGGGTTTAACGATTATTGCACTTATATAGCGACGTGCATGCACGTGTGTGGCTGCTTGTACTAGTCCGGACTGATGCCGATTTATAGTGCTACCTCACTCAGACACAGTATACTGACACCGAGCCGACCAGTCCTTGTTTTATCCCCTTAATGCCAAGCACGAGACAGGGTCACAACAAGTACTATCTTTTAACGTCTTTTGGTATGACGCGGCTGGGGATCGAACCACCGCTCTCTGGGCAGACGCTCTTCCACAAGACTACGGAGGCGGTCGATTGTATTAGTAATTAAATGTATATGTAAATAGTATTATTGTCCTAAATATCCTTGGTATAGCTTCATTAACTATTATACTTTGTTTGGCCTATTTATCAGTAAGTGAGTTAATATTTAACGTAGCAACGGCAATATCTTAGCAATATAGCGACCAATTTATCAAAGTAATTAGTTTAGACCAAATATTCAATAAATATGTTTTGAGTACTGGTTTAGCAGAAACCAAGTCATGCGGAACTTTGATCAACCAATCCAAACTGAGCCATATTCTCACTAACAACAGCATAGGCATGGATTTGAACGTAATTTCAAGTCGCTGAATGAGTATGCAGACATCACTGCATGCATCAGGCAATGAAGTATGCTGGGTTCTCTGTCTTCATTGCGGCTGGTGCTGACATACTCTGCTACAATACCATCATTGAAAGCATAAATGTGTGTCAAGGAAAAACGACCACTTTCACTTTGTGTATCCCGATAATATCACACTATGTGAATATCCTTCCAACATCACGGTTAACATACTAATATAGTGGCTTCTCACTCCCATGTGAAGGTAACAAGTGTTCTATTTGAGATTACTCTTCCTTAGTTAAGTACAAATTCTGGTACTTTTGGGGGTTGAGTCCCATGGCAGATTCGAACCAACACTTTCCGAGTGAGACACGTAATCGCCAGCACACTGAGTCAGCGATCTTAAAGGCATTATGTATTCATATATGAAAGTCATGTACGAGCTTATCTAAATCTTTAAATATACAAGCACCATACTAAATTATTTTTCTGGATTTTATTTATATTTATAGGAATCCTAATGTCACATAGCCAACGTTCGAATGAACCGCTTACATGGACGTGAACGTTGATCTGTCTGGAAGGTCTTCACATATTAGCAGTTGACGTCTTCAGGGCACTGACTATTGCCTTCATGGGTAGATATACGTGACCTATCTGCTCCATAACATATGGTCTTTTTCGGTATTAACAACTGATGTCTTCTGTGAACTGACTTTCGCCTCCATGGCTAGTATATATGTGACCTATCTGGACTACACTGGGTATGGTGTTTACAGTATTAGCAATGATCAACACGTCTGAGCTTTGATTGTTTCCTTACGTGTGGATTTTTGTCTTGAGATGTTTTTACCCACAGCTGCAAAACCAGATAGTGTTTTAATTAAATAAGCCGGAACATCTTTCAAGAAAAACACCTTGAAACCTTGCAGTTTTTGAGACGGACAGTTTTCATTTTTTTCCAACAGTTTGAAGTACAATTATTCTTTCAACAATGTTCTGGGACATTTTTCTTTTGCCATATAATCCCAGTTACGGTTCAGACAATGTGTCATGTTTTCAGATTAGTCCTGATTCATAGTACACTTCGTTAATGGACGCGGTCCTGTCTGGCGACGTGAACGTCAAGCAAATGTCTACCCGAGAGCTCATGACAGATTCGGCGGTGGATTGGTTATATTGGCGGGTGCCATCACTATCTCTGAGCGAACCCCACTCAATACTGTGCAAGGACTGGTCAGTACTCTCGCGACAACATACTGACACTCTTTGCAAGGCGTGTTGGTCGACGTTATGTCTTTCCGTGTACGAATCGTCAAGGCTAAACTCATCCAGCACACCAGGAGTACCATGGCCACAATGAGCCCAGGCCTTTCCCTTAAAGAACGCGTCTGGGAACTGATAGGGAGACGCGTGCGTCAACGTCGTAGGCCGCCGACCACGTTGGCTGAACTTGGCCACGCGTTGCAAGAGGAGTGGGACAGACTCCCTAAAATCGCCATTGGGAGACTCATCAGCAGTATGCCTCGTCGTGTTAAGGAAGTTTTGTATTACGCACTACTGATCCAAAAACGTCAACTTTGAAATAACCAAACTTACCCAATCGTCCTACAGTATTGTTGGCGGTCATAACATCTTCACGACCGGTTGAAATGTGTTCCGAATTCGTTCATTATTATCATACAACTACTATGAGAAACTAATATCTCTTTCAAGTTTGGAAATCCAGTTAGGTGCGGGTATCCCCTACTTACTTTGAAGAGTATAGTGTAAATAAAGATTATATTGTTGACTTGTAGATTTCAATTTCTTTGTTCTTTAAATGCGATGTTAAAGGTGCTGGTATTTCTATCAAGCAACCAAGACAGAGCTGTCAACAATGTCTTCACTGCACTGTTCGATTATAACTGTTTATCGTGAGATAACATCCTTCAAGAAGCATTCATCACATACCACGCGGCCATTATGATCAATACAGAATATTCCATTCCGTTATCCTCAACTGATACTTTAAGCAATTGGACATTCAAATGTGGGATTTCCCGAACGTGGAAGGGTGTTGATAACATCGAAAATGATTAGCGAAGCCATCTTTCACATCGATATTGTTTTATTGAACAGTCAGGGGGTTGGATGGGGCAAAGTCACCACCAGAATAGAGGTTCCAGATTTTCTGGGTCAGGACAGTTACTGACCTGGGTGCTTGTTTCTCAATTCAACATATGACTTGTCTTCGGTTGGTTGCACCAAGGAACCCATCAAAAGCAGAATCCATCATCGAATAGTTTCTTTTTGACCATGGATTATGGAAACGTGAAATTGGGTTGTCAAGGTATGGCATGATAGTTCCTTTGATGAATGTCAAGTTACGAACTTATGCAGATTGTAGACGGTAAATAGATGCTGCCAGAAATCGCACTTGATTTGATGCAAGATAAAAGAAAGGTTATCCATAGCTGTCGTAGTATTGTCAATTTCCTAAAATACGGTAGTCCTTCAGTTTAAACAATGAATCATAATTGAGGCTCAGATTTTTTTCCGATTTCTCCTCGACGATGGCTATTAAACCCCATGAGAAGTATTATACGCTTAAATACTGATGTGATGTGACGCGCATTACTGACATCCAAATAATTTGATTTCAACATCCAAAGGAAACATGAACTACCACAGAAGAAAATGTTCAAGATCTTATTGGCTTTAACGGCTATGAAAATCTCCCTTAAGTATTGAAATGCGACAATATCAAAGACAGACGCGACATGGATCATCCAAAGTGGTTTTAAGCGTGTAGAATAATAATAAAGCGACAAAACCTTTCCGTATTCATAAGAAATCTCTGCTGAAACGGAGTCCATTAAAATTCCGATTGTATCGTAAGCATGTGTTAATGAATCACTATCAAATGGTGGTGATACTGGGTGTACGCGATAAAAGGTAAGCGTATCCTGTCCTTCCGATGGCGCCTGTCACAAACACATGCAAGACAAGTCAACTGTTCACACGGGAACATCATTTTTTGTCACTGATGCGTCAAATTTTGGAAATGCCACCCACATGGCCAACATAAAACCTTTTGAAAGCTTTACTGAGGCCTGCAAGTCGTCTAAGGTTGGGTCCCTTGGGCACGCCAGAAACCTATGATTGTGGGTTCGAATCCCGGTTCGCCCCGATTATGTTTCTAGGTTTTGTCAGCACCATACCCGTGCTCGTGGGTTTCACCGAAGTGGTAAACGTCTGAGGCCTGTATCACTTCGGGCTTTACTACCACATTAAGCTGACACGCCATGATATAACTGGAATACTGTTAAAAGCGGCGTTAAACCCAACTCACTCACTCACTGAGGCCCGAGTGCAAACCTTGACGTTTAAATTGCTACAGGAACTTTGTCGCAAAGCTCTGCCTCTTTACCAGAAACATTTTGTTTAAGAAGACCCCAAACCATTCCAGATGCTACATCTACCTAACAACATTTCAGAGACAGCTAGTTGACATTATTTTCATCATTGGCACCGCTACATGCCCCTTACAAGGTCCCCATCCACTCTGCCAAATGAAATTTAAACACGGATGCAAATGCGGCTCTTCTCCGAGCCATGGCCTCAATTGTGACTAATAGATTTGACTCTTGTAGAATATTCATCATCTCTTCGATGAAGCGGGTTGATCACATTATCCCGAGCTGGAACATCCACGACAAGGTATGGTAAGTCACCAACATTGCCTATCACTCATTTCCCCAAGTTTTGAGGTTTTCCTGGGGTAAAGTTTTCTGACAGACCTCTCGAAGGGCACGGCGTTCTTATGGAAACAACTTGAACCGCGGTGTTCAAGATCAGGGAGTTCTGTTTCTTTGAAACAGGAAATAGATGGATTTCTTTATATCCCAGCCTTCAGATGGTGCAGCTGGCTACATTCTCATTTGAATTTTTATATCTATATGGATTCCCGTTGATGCATCGTCGGAATCAAATCTTTGAGAGACGTGCTTTTTCGGGTTCTGGGAATAGATTACGTGGTCCTGACATCGACCTGGGACCCCGATGATGGAAGAGGGCATTTATCCATGTCTCATACTCCGTAAAAAACAACGATGTTACCTTCCAAGGTTTTTCCACATCTATCGTTCCTTACTATTAGATTCACCAGTGCCGTATATAAAAGTTTTAAGCGCTACTAATTAATTTTTTTATTTCTGCAATTAGATACGTGAAAAGACATCATACATAATTATAAAAAAACGTATCTTGTCAGCTGTTTATGACCATCACGGCGTCAATCATTCACAAGCGAGGTTCCCTCGGAGACGTGTCATGTTGTTAA